ATTGTCACAACATCAGCATCAAATAATAGGAAGAGGAAAGGAAAAAGGGACATATAGAATAAAGTAAATAGGCTGAAATTGTTAAGTTAATAAAGTAGGATTACAATATGAAGATAGGTGGCAGCAAAGTTCACTAAAAGCATTTTTACTTAACGACAGATCCTTAAGATCTGCATTGAGTTCTCAATTTTAAAGTTTATAACTTCTACTAAGTCTATAACTGTACCTCATGGTGTTTCACTAATAAAAATTTTTTAAAAAATAAAATTTATAACTTGACTGACATGTGTCCTATTATGTATGATTCCCCAGCCCCCTCCCGCCCCCAAAATATCGAGTGGGTAAATTTTTAGGGTCTTTATAGTTTCCATTCAGAAACCTACAAATCATGACACAAAATATATTCAAATTGTACTCATCTCTTAAAAATTAATCTTTATTAAATTCTACTCCCAAAGCTTAACATCGTATCATTCCATTATATTTAAGATTAGTCTCACCCTGTTTATCAGATATTTAAAAAAAAAAAGAAAGAAAACAATCACAACACTAATTGCAAAATGAACACAAAACTCTTACAAAAGACAAGTGTGACTTCATAAGATAATGGTATTCAAAAGTTCCAAAATGCAAAACAAATGCTAATACCAGTGCAAGGTTAGACAAACTCCTTTAACAAACTTGATGATGTGCAAGAGAAACTTGAAATGTCAATATAAAATATAAAAGACCTTTGTGCAAAACATTATTAACTATCAGGAAAATGCAAACCAAAATCACAATGTGAGTAAAATTTTAGGAGGGGGTCACATCTGGCTGTGCTCAGGACTTACTCCTCACTTCACGGGTCACAACTAGAAAATTGGGGGACCATATGTGATGCCAGAGATTGATAAACCTGGGTCAGCTGCATGCAAGGCATATTCCCTGTACTATTGCTCCAGTCCCTCATTTGATTATTAATTGCAATTATATTCTATTACATAAATTGTCTTAACAAAAATACAACAAAAACGTACTATTCTCTGGGTCTCCATACTGTATTCTATAGTTTGTTTCTGTAGCACTGTAGCACTGTCCTCCCATTGTTCATCAATTTGCTCGAGCAGGTACCAGTAATGTCTCCATTGTGAGACTTGTTATTGTTTTTGGCATATTGAATATGCCACAGGGAGCTTGCCAGACACTTCCATGCGGGCAGGATACTCTCGGCAGCTTGCCGTGCTCTCCGAGAGGGACAGAGGAATCAAACCAGGGTCGGCTGTGTGCAAGGCAAATGCCCTACCCACTGTGCTAGTTTGTTTCTAGTGAACATAAATCTTAGCTCATAAAAATGATCCTGTTTTTCATTGAAAACACATTCATATTTTAAAAAATAATGTATTTCAATGTTAAAATTCTAACTATAAAAACTTAAATTTCACTGATGGCTATTGGGGCTTGGGGGTTGGGGGTTTATTGGGGTTCTTCGTGGTGAAAAATAAGTATTGGTAAAGGGAAATGTGATTGATATTTGCATGACTGAGACCTAAACCTGAAAGCTTTGTAACTTTTCCCAAAGCGATTCAATAAATAAAAAAAATAAATAAAAAAAAATTTCACTGATGGCTGAGCAAGGCTTTAAGTAATGTAAAAATATATATTCATTGGCATGAAAATTTGTTGTAGATATATTATATTAAAAAATACATGAAAAGATACCAAAAATGGATTAACATGTGATTTTTCATTTTCTTCTTTATAACTTTATGTATAGTCTAAAATTTTTAAAGGTTTATAATTTATAATGAGAAAAAATATGAAATTATTTTAAATAGTATTTATATGACACAATATTTGAGAGTTTGTAAATTTCAGTGCTTCTAAAATTTTGTCAACAACAAAATATTCAAACTTCAGTTAGTATAGAGAAGGGACCAGTATGACAATAATAGTTAGAAATGATCACTCTGAGAGGCAAAAACGTGTAGCCGAAGTGACATCTGCACTTGTTTGTTCATTGCAGCACTCTTTACAGTAGCCAGAAACTGGAAGAGACCTGAGTGCCCAAGAACAGATGACTGGTTAAAGAAACTTTGGTACATCTACACAATGGAGTACTATGTGGCTCTTAGAAAAGATGAAGTCATGAACTTTACATACAAGTGGTACAATATGGAAAGTATCATGCTAAGCGAAATGAGTCAGAAAGAGAGGGATAGACATAGAAAGATAGCATTCATCTGGGGGATATAAAATAATAAAATATGAGATTAATACCCAAGAATAGCTGAGAGCAACACCAGGAGAATTACTCCATAACTTAGAGGCCAGCTGGGTATTCTAGGGGAAAGGACAATTCAGATAGAAAGGGGAACACCAAGTGGAGGGTGTTTGGAGGATCCTCCCAGGAGGGGAGATGCAAGTTGAAAGTAGACTGGACTGAACATGTTCGCCACTCAATGCCTCTTTGGCTGATCACAGCGCCCAGGAGGAGAGAGAGAACAGGGGGGAATGCCCTGCCACAGTGGCAGGGGGGGGATGGGGTGATGGGAGGATGGGGGGGGAGGGATATTATCCTGGTGGTGGAAAATGGGCACTGGTGGAGGGATGGGTATTTGATCGTGGTATGACCGAGATCCAAGCACAAAAATTTGTAAATCTACAACTGTACCTCATGGTGTTTCACTAATAAAAAAGAAAAAAAAAAGAAATGATCACTCTGAACGAAAACTGAGTGTTGAAAGTAGGTAGAGGGGTATTTATGATAACCTTTCTCTATTGCAAATCATATTGCCCAAAAGGAAAAAGAGAAGAGGGGGGGAGGGGAGGGGAGGGGAGGCGAGGGGAGGGGAGGGGAGGGGAGGGGAGGGGAGGAGAGGAGAGGAGAGGAGAGGAGAGGAGAGGAGAGGAGAGGAGAGGAGAGGAGAGGAGAGGAGAGGAGAGGAGAGGAGAGGAGAGGAGAGGAGAGGAGGAGAGTGCTTGCCAAAAAAGGTAGGAGGGGTTGGGGCAGACAGGAGAGAAAGTGGGGGGATATTGCAGGTGGAAAATATACACTGGTGAAAGGATGGGTATTGGGACATTATATAACGGAAACCCAATCATGATATGAAGAGCGCATATTTGCAAAATGAAGCTATATAATGGGACACCTTAAATGTCCTCACTTATTCCTATAGACAAGAGTTTCCCAAACTTATTTGGCCTACAGTCCCTTTTAAGTAAAAAACAAAACAAAAACAAAATAAAAAAAATAGTAGCAAATAGAAGCATTCCCTAATTGCTCTGTAGATTCTTCTGCTCTCCCCACCTCCATATTCTTCCCACACTCCTCCTGGGACCTGATAGAGTTATTTTAGGAAGCCCTTCAATGGACAGTGGGGAATTGTTTTGATCAGGGGTCAGTTGCATAGACCAGAATTCATGATAAGTAGTTTAAACTCAAGAAAATCTACTAATAGTTTACACAAATGTTGAGTTGGATGTAGAAATGTTTTAGGTTTCCAGGAATGATTTCCAAAGACGTACTAAAGAACTGGGAGCTAAAGAACCAGTTACTGAATGTGAGGAAAAAAATGGGAAATTGGGAAGCTAACACTAATGCTGATAGCACTAAAACCAAACTAACACTGCACAGTCAAGAACCAATGCAATTACAATACTAACATGTAAATGATAACACTCCAAATTAAAATCTCTGTGAGCAGGCTCCAGAAACACACCAAACTGTTCATGATAGGAATCATTAAAGTGATATTTTAGGCCTTGCTTATCAACACCCATGAAACTAATCATGGGATCCTTGAGTCTTTGTCTAGTGACATCAACAGAAAAATCCAAGGTCTATAGGTCATGCTTGCTTCTAGAAAAATCAAAGACAGCTTTTAGTTAAGCCTTGCTTCTAGAAAAATCAAAGACAGCTTTTAGTTAAACCTTGCTAATTCTAAATGGATCTCAACTCCAGCTGCAGAGTTGTCTGGGAAGTTTAGTTTTTAGCTTTTTCACCTCTGCAATAAAGAATGGCATGCTAGAAGGGATTGAAATGAATATACAATGCCTCATTCTCTAAAGAACTACTGCGTATTAAACAGTGAAGAGGAAGAAAAATGGAAACCTAATCCCGTGTATCTGGAGCTTGAAGTGAATGAATTTCAAATTACAAATTTGCGAGTTATATCTTCTCTATTCTACACATTATCTCCCTTCCTGGACTTTCTAGTTGCTATTAAAACTAGCACTGCTGCCAGATATAAAGAAGTACCTGAGAGATTTACAGCTTCCTCTGAACCACAGTGAAGATTACCAGAGTTGGGAAGACCGAGGTGAGTTCCTGGGTCAAATGGGCAATTATTTTACAGTTCCACAAAGAGGTCACACATCTATGTCCCTGTGATTTGCTAGATTTGGGGATCAACCTCCTACCCCTTGAGTCTCAGGGGTGCCATAGATCCTCAGTTGGAATGCAGTATAACCCTTCTGGATCCAGAAAGAGATCTGAAAGCAGCCGTGCAATATCTATAGAGGAAAAAAGTGAAAATTACATCAAAGTGATTTCTACTTAGTGAGCTATCAAAATGAGTGCAAGATGAGTTATTTTTTCTAAACATTTGACTCAAGTTTTACAGCAGAATTGGTAAGAGTAAAATTAACAAATGAAGTAATTTTAATGATGTAGAGTTCATTCAAGTCACGTCTTCCAGGGATTTCAAAAACTGAATATCAACAAACAAAACATAGCGAAAGAAAACTAAATGTGAACTTGTGTCTCCTCTAAATTTCATAACCTCCACACACATCTATTCCTTTCATCTTTCTGTGATGTTAATCTTCTGTTTATTTTTCTACTACTTTCTGTTTATTTTTCTACTACTTTCATGTAGTTTATTCAGAGATTGCCCTTTTTAATCTGGTCTAAGTCTGTTCTTTCTTACCTCATCTAGAAATTAAAACTAAATGTGTGTGTGTGTGTGTGTGTGTGTGTGTGTGTGTGTGTCTTGTTGGTAGTAGTGGTTAAACTCGAGTTGGGACTTCCTCTTTGAGCAGTCTTCGTTTCCTCTCATACAGGAGAGATCTCATTTTGCTTGAGACGTGAGTAATTGAAACTAAAATCACATACCAACTTAAGGGTATGATGGCTAAGAAGCCCCCCAAACCAGCACCTCGCAGAATCTTCCAAGAAAGGTTAACTATTACCGCTCTCCCCTTATACTTTGAAGGTTTTTTGTTAGTCAAGCGCTCAGAACACCAGGTAAGTCCACAGATTATAATGTTAAATGAAAAGCATCTGTTTATATAAAATTGATGATAATCATGTGATTTGTCAAGAGCCTCCTTGTTTCTATTGAAATCATATCCTTTTTCTTTGAACTCAATGTATTTCAAATAAAATGTTGTATTTATTACATGTATTAAAAATAACATGTACGTATTACAAATATTAACCCACAGTTCTAATATTGTCACTTATGTAAAATATGATTAAACTAAATTTTCAAATGATTTATTTAAATATTACAGAAGATTTTGGTTTAGAATATAAAGGTTGCCTGTATATTTTCTGCATTATGCTTCCATAATGATAGTAGCATTTAAAAAAATACTCAAGATAAAATTAAATCTTCAACTTCTTTCCTCACTTGTTCTTAGATTATAGTTAATGATCAAATTATTTTTAAATGGTAAAATTTTGAAAAAAATTGTGCAAGTCAAATTGACACTGTTTAACATTTTGTTCAATTGCATGTTCTAGAAACTTTAACACTGGTGGAGGGATGGGTGTTAGAATACTGTATGACTGAAATCAGTCATAAAAAGCTTTGGAAAAAATAAATAAATAAATAAATAAATAAATAAATGAAAACTGTCTAAGAGAGTAACTTTGAAGTATGTCACCTGGGGTATTTATGAGTAGTAGTCATACTACGCTACATATATGCATCCCTTTTTACTTTAAAATATTAAGTGCATAATTCTAAATGAGACAAACATGAAAGAGCCTGTTAATCAAGAAAAATAAATAAATCATTAACTTAGGTCAAATTTAATGAAAAGTAAATATTAACTATAGAAATAATCGGATTAGAAATTCCATAAGAAATATTTAATAGTGATGATAATTTTTCTGAGAATTTGTTAACATGACAATGTGTATGATAAATCTATCTGAAATAGCTTATACTTAATGCTTAAATTTATAGTCTGAATATTTGCTATTTGAGAGAAAAGGCATGATAATTTGCATTCTAACATAGGTGTTATAGAAATTTATAGTATTTGTGGGTTACACTGGAATGTTGTTTTTATTTACTTTGGAGAGAGGGGCACATTAGCTCTGCTCAGGACTCATTCCTGACTCTGCTTCAAGATCATTCCCGGCAGTGCTAGGGAACCAGATGTGGTGCCTGGGCTGAACGGAGTTTGGTAGATTGCAAGGCGAGTACTCACACTGGATTTTTTTTTAATCAGGGAAAAAATCTATGTCTGATTTATAATTTAAATTTTATTATTTATTGAAAGTGTTCCAAAATATTTATAATATATGTCCCTTATATTAAGTTTCTTTTAGTATTATAAAAGGTACTCATTGTTATGGTGAGTAGAAAGAACAAGAATTTTAGAGTATCAGCAAAACACTGGTTTTCTTTAGGGGAGAAGGAATAGGGCCACACTCTGTGGTGCTGGGGGCTTACTCCTGACTCTGTGCTCTGGGATTATGCTTGGCTGTGATGCAGGACCAAATGTGGTGTTGGGGACTGAATTGCAGTTAGCCACATGCAAAGTAGACTCCTTAAGTCCTACACTCTCTGGAGAAAGTAAAATACGTCTTTATCAAATGATTTTGTCATGGATTTTGTCATGCAATCTTAAAAGTTACTTAATTCGCTTGAGACTGTTTCTTTGGCTGTAAAATAATTTGGCTTACTCCCAAAACATGATTAATGTCTGAAATATTATAGCTATTCATTCAATTTATTCATTTCAAGTAAAATTGTGTACCTCTTTTGCTCTAAGCAGAACACTCAGTTCTGAAACTTATGAATAAAACCAAATACTTTGTTTTTTATTTTCATTTTGTTTTGGGGGAGGGTCACACCTGGAGATACTTATTCTGGCTCTGTGCTCAGGGATCACTCCTAATGGTACCTATGGGGCCCTATGCGACCCCAGAAATTTAACTGATGTCAGTTTCACCCAAGGCAAGTGTTAACTTTAACTCTTAACTTTAACCTTAACTCTTGTACTATCTCTCTGGATCCCAAATATTTGATTTTAATGACACTTGGTCTGGTAAGGAACGATGTCTACATAATTGCTGCCTGATGGCTACTCTATTTTTTTCTTAGAAAGCATATGGTAAATGGAAACAATAAGTTATAAACAAAAAACTGTTTCTGAGACAATTAGTTTCTGTTACCACTTGACTTAAAGCAAAGTGCTTTCTACCTGTATATCAGTGAGAAGAGCACTATAATGAATCTACGTAGAGGGTGGTTTCAAAGTGTTAACAGTATAGCATATGTAAAGCGAAATGAGCCAGAAAGAGAGGGACAGACATAGAAAGATTGCATTCATCTGGGGAACTTAAAGTAACAAAATAGGAAACTAACCCCCAAGAATAGTTGTCATAAATACCAGGAGGTTCACTCCATGGCTTGGAGGCCAGCCGCACACTCTAGGGGTAAAGGCAGCTCAGATAGAGAAGGGAGCACCAAACAAAGGGTGTTCGGAAGATCTGCCCAGGATGGGAGATGCATGCTGAGAGTAGACTATAGACCAAACATGATTGCCACCCAATGCCTCTTTTGCAAACCACAGCACCCAAAAGGAGAGGGAGAACAAAAGGGAGTGCCCTGCCACAGAGGCAGGGTGGGATGGGGAGATGGGGGGTGGGAGGGATACTGGAATTGGTGGGGGTGGAGAATGGGCACTGGTGGAGGAATGGGTAATTGATCATTGTATAACTGAAACCCAAGCACAAAAATTTGTAAGTCTACAACTGTACCTCATGGTGTTTCACTAATAAAAATTTAAGAGGAAGAAAAAAGAATATAGCATATGTAAAACATGTGGCTCACTCTAAAAGTTAGACTTTCCATCTTAGGATTGGTTATAGCTTCATTAACATGCTTAAAATCAGTTTTGGGTCTACAAGTACTTATGAATCAAAGAAGAGCCACAGTGTTGATTAGAGTGATAAAACAGAAGTTATGAAAGAAAGCTACGGAAAATAGTGATATTTCTAGGCAAGGTGTAGAAGGTGCAGTGGTGGTAGGGGAACTTGTGAAGGGAAAATTAACAAAAGGTACATAGATTATCTTTGAAGCAAATCAGCTGGGGGAAGTTGGGAAACAGTAGATGGCAAATAGGGTTTCTGATGAAAGAATTAAGAACACTTAAGCTAGAGAAAATACAACAGGAAGTAACCAAGCCTATGAGGAATTTATATTTAAGAGTTGTTTCTACGCTATTTTTGTGGTGGGTTAATTTGTGTGAATTCTTTAAAGAATTCAAGGGGGGATTGGAGCGATAGCACAGCGGGTAGGGTGTTTGCCTTGCACATGGCTGACTTGGGTTCAATTCCCAGCATCCCATAAGGGGTCCCCTGAGCACTGCCAGGAGTAATTTCTGAGTGCATGAGCCAGGAGTAAACCCTGTGCAATGCCAGGTGTAACCCCCCCAAAAAAAAAGTTTTAAAAATAAAAGAATTCAAGGAGCTTTATCTGCAAGAAAATTACCAATATATACCATTTTAAATACAATTCCAGATGGTCTGTGTATCCTAGCTTAGGAAACTAGTATATTAATAGTACGTAATTTTCATTGGAAAATTTGGGGAATATCTACTTAAACCACCACTTTAAAATTCTTGTTTAATCAGGAAGATTTATTTGAGAGTAGCACTGCAGCACTGTCCTCCCATTGTTATCAATTTGCTCGAGCAGGCACCAGTAATGTCTCCATTATTAGACTCGTTGTTACTGTTTTTGACATATCGAATACTCCACAGGGAGCTTGCCAGGCTTTGCCATGCAGGCGGGATACTCTCGGTAGCTTGCTGGGCTCTCTGAGAGGGACAGAGGAATCAAACCTGGGTCGGCCATGTGCAAGGCAAACACCCTACCCGCTGTGCTATTGCTCCAGCCCCAAGAGTAATTCTTGAGGTAGGAGTAAGCCCTGAGCATCAACAAGTGTGACCCCAAAACCAAAACAATATTTTTAAAAACATATGACTTCACCAATGCTTATTAAAAATGTAGAGAATGTCTAAAATATATCTATAAAAATAAATGATTGTGGACTAGAGAGATAATATAGCAAGTAGGAGCTTGATTTGCACATGTTCAACCCAGGTTTGATTCCCCAGCATTCCATATCAGAGACAATACCCCACCAGGAATAATCTCTGAGATCATAGAGTGGAGTAAGTCTTGAGTACCACTAGGTGTGACCCCTACCCCCCCCCACACACACACACATACACAAAAGTTACTGAGAGGATACCTTACAAGAATTATGAAAGGCACTTCTATTCTCAAACAGGGACCCTATTTCATAGGCCCAACAATTTACAATAATTTGTTTAATAAGAAACAGTAATAATTAATGTATATGAGAGATGCCTGACAAACATCTACACAATAAGTTTCTTGACTAATGTCTAAACACTGTGTTTCCAAATTTTCAAGAGTTATGTTTTAAATCAATGAGAATTAACTAAACTACACAATGCCAATAGATAGTTAGAAAAATAAGTAAATGTTGGACTGGAGAGATACAGTACAGGGGTACTATAACTATAACTCTGTACTATTCTGACCCTTTTCCGGCAAGTGGTGGACCCTAACTGAATCCTCAACACCATGATCTGATGCCCAAACATATAGCAGAGATCCCTGAGCACAGAGTCAGGAGCAGACCCAGAGCATAGCTGGATGAGGCAGGGAAGGAAAGCAAAGTGGAAGGGGAAAGGGAAAGTGGAAAAAAAATAAAAGGCAAGGAAAGGAAAAGAGATGAAGGGATGACTCCTGAATACAGAGGCAGGAGTAAGGCCTGAGCACTGCTGAGTGTGGTCCAGAAAACAAAACAAAAGAAAGAATATATATAGAGGATGTGAACCAATCATCACTATATTGCAACTCCCCTGTAATGGGGTGCAAAGCTCCAGAAGCCATTGTGTCTTTGGGGCCCTCCTCCACCCTGATGCCAGGATGTCCATGAGAAGGAGAGAGGAAGGGAGTGGAGGGGAGG